TTATAGATCACCATCACATAATGATCAGGTGTTAGCGAAAACGTAAGCGTATCCTGCCCCGCCGCTGGCACCCGTCACAAACACACGCAAAGACGAGTCAAGAACTGGGGCAGAGTTTGGACGATTAACAACCAAGGGAGTATCCCCAACAGAACACTTGACATTTTATGCGCGCCTCAATTCTCTGCCACAAGCAGTCATCAGAAGTAGTCACAATATTTACTGTCACAGAATACTCTCCCCTTCATGATCCAGAGAAGAGAAAGCTGAACGCTCTAAAAACTCTCTTTAGAATTGACACTTTAAACCATAATGAAAATATGTGTCCATGATGAATGTATGCAATTACATTGTCTTAGCCCTTGACCCCGTGGCAACCTGGAATAGAATGTGTCGCCAGCACCCCATTGCTGGTTGTAAGAGGCGACCAAATTGGGCAACCGAGTTTGCCTAGGGTTGCGTCCATGTGTTGTGGAGGACGGGAGTATGGTGGTAAAGGGCTCTGTTTCCAGGAGTAAAGATCCTTTGCTCAATACACCACTTTGAGACTTGTCTTCGTCCAGATGGATGGTGGGATGTTCCTATCAATCGGCAGGTCATGCAAAGCACTGTACACCTTACTTTTCTTGTTTGCACACAGATTGGCTTGGGAGTTTATAATTATAATTGTATTCTTTTGAATACACATTTACACTGATTTTGACTATACTTGATTATTAAATAATTTGTCCCGATGCCAGTGTCAGAAGGTGGTGGCCAATGGGCCAATCTGTTAGTATGTATCTTTTGAAGATATATTTCTGCTTGAGTAAACCCTCCTGGTACCCTCCTGGTATCCTTAGTGCCGTTGGAGGTCCACAGACGTGAGGCATCGTCCATGTAGACACTCCATTGTGGCTGGGGGGCTTGGAGAGCGAAACATATTCGAAACTACCATGGCTCTCACTTGTCTTCAAAAACAGAGGATGAGGACCCTTCAACACCTCTCACAAAACCTAATAACTGGGCGAGATTCCTTGTCATGTCTTCTCTGGATGGCTGTCTTCTAAAGTTGAATCTCTTTGCCATAGGAACGGGTATTGAAGATTTACCTGGAGATGTAAAGGAGTTTAAGAAGCTATGATCTGGACATCTATTGATCGAATGCAGGAAAATATCCAATGTTGGACGCTGCTTCTCATACACAACAGAGAGTGACATTGTTTCAGAGCTACATTCACAAGGGGTTACTGATGGGTTATGTTTCACTGCAAGCAAAGACAATGAAGTCGCAAAGACAAATACCTATTTATATACATTTGGTTTTCCATCACATCTGGAATCGCTCAAATCGGGCTTCTGCAATTAAAAGGTGGATGAATTTATCCCTAATTAGATGGTACAGGTATAAAAATTATGACCACGTCTCATAATCATGTCATGAGGAAGCTGTCTCATAGATGTGGTGAAAAGTGAAGAACTTAGATTACATGACAAAACTCCTGCCTGTGTAAACTGCTCTGGAATTCATCCTTCATTTTCAAAAGATTGCCCTACATGGAAAATGCAATCTAAAACTTCACGAATCAATCATCTATTTTTTGGGTGCAAAGAAGATCGTTCTAGCTCAGGAATAAACGGGGCCGTCAAATGCTGCTGCTGTTGTTTCTGTTTCAACTCCACCTCCTGCTATTGTTCCGAGAACTGTTCAGGCCATTCAGAAGGTTGCCAGACTGAATACACAAATGGAACGTGAGGGGTAGATCTCCCGTCAATCCTCCGAAGAGATAGCATCTTCACATCTTCTACAATGGGATTGAGGACTACTTTTAATGAATTACAGCTCTTAGTTCAGAATTTTAAACATTCAGCATGCTGTCTAAAAGCTATCTGCGATGAAGCTCCAAACCCTGTATAATCATTGGTGATTTTATGGCAAAACCCCACTTAGGGGTGGTACAAACACAAATACTAAAGGTAAAATACTTCAGGATTTTCTCTCCAATAACCACCAGTTTATAGTGAATGATGCCTCAAGCACGTATCTTCATCACTTACTCATACGCTTACTCTAGAGTCATCTTTTACAGACTCTAACCTACTAAACAAGTGTGAACGAAAGTGACCATTTCCCAACTATCCTTCAACAGTAAATCCATCTAAAATTTCACCTTCAACAAGATTGAAGTTTACAATGGCAAACTGTTACTTGTTTCAAATTCTATGCACAATTATGCAAACATCCGAATGTTTCAGTGATGTTTCTGGTCGTATTCACTTTTTTGTGACGTTTTAAATGAATTTGCTGATGAATTCCTCTAAAAATCCTCCTATATACGTACACCTTGGTTTAACACTGATAGTAAAGGAGCTAGGGAGAAAGCAGAGAAACATTTCCACTGTCTAAGGTTTGGAATATGGTAAAAAAGAATTAAAGGTAACGGTTCCAAATCTAGTGTTCACAATCTTTAGCATATAAACAAGGTGAAACTATAGCTAAACATTCTTTCTCGTCAAATAATATACCGAAATTTGAGAGATTTAAAGAACAAGAAGAGAACATGACACTGCTGCAGCTGCTGATAATATTCATTATCAGTTACTTAAAGATTTATCTGATTCGTGCTCATTCCAATACCCAAACCTGGCCGTGATCATACCGACCCTTCCAATTAGGCCAATATCACTTACTAGCTGTGTTTGTAAGACCATGGAAAGAATGGTCATTAATAAATTAATATGGTACATTAACACAAATAATCTTATTACTAATATTCCATGTGTTTTTCGAAAATATAGAAGTATCATTGACCAATTGGTTAGACAGGAAACATTTGCTAAAAATGCTATCATCAATAAACAACACTCTGTATATATATATTTCGATTTCGAAAAAGCGTATCATTACAACCTGGAAACATGGAAGTTCAAAAGATCCTCATGAGATCGGATTGAGAGGCGGTTTGCCTAATTTAATATCACAGTTTGTGTAACATATATAAAAATATCAAGGTACGTGTGGAATCCACCTTGTATGATGTTTATGATCAACAGATAAGGTTGTCCCACAAGGTAGCATATTATCGTTGACCTTATTTAGTATAAAAATGAATAGTTTATCTGATGTGTTAAATGACTCTGTTGATGGGTCATCTCTTGTCGATGATTTTAAAGTATCATCTCAAGGTAAAAATATGCACACGAATGAGAGACAGCTGCAGCTTTGTCTTAATAAAATTGATGATTGGACGGATCAGCTTTAAATATTCTAAATCTAAGACAAATCGCATTCATTTTTGTCAAATATATAAACTACATAGGGACCCCTACTTACATTTAACGGGAATTCCAATCAAATTTGTAAAGTCATCAACAAGTAAAAAAAGAAAGCACACCCTAACATATTTCATAATTCTTTGGTCCCAATATTTGTAACAGTCATGAAAAATATAAATACGGGAATAATCATGTTTTCTCGAGATGATGTAATCAGTCATGCGTGACGAAAGCTCACGTGGCCGTGCAGCATGCTTCCCTCGAGTATCTCTGAAAGCAGTATATCCAAATGTTAAAATTGCTTTCTTAAGCTCGGTTTTTAACAGTTATTCCATGACATTGTGTGACCATGCCACGAAGGGGATTATCAAACGCGACAAGATGGCAAATAATCGGCATGCATAACGCAGGAATTTCTTGTAATGCCATTGGTCAGAATTTGGGGAATCATCACACTGTCGTAAGCCGTTTTGTTGAGAAACATGCTCAGGCCGGTGATGTACAGGACCGACCCAGACCCGGAAGACATCCAAACAGTTGTGGTTGCCCAATCGTCGTTTCAGCGCCAGAACCGTCAGGAACCGGCTGAAAGCAGCAGGACTGAGGCCCAGACGAGTGATGAAGAGTCCCTTGTTGAGAGATCACAACAAAGCTGCTCGTCTAGCATGGTGTATTGCGCGACAGAACTGGAATCTGAGAACTTGGAGACGGATCCATTGGTCAGACGAAAGTCGCTTCCTGCTCCACGTCACTGACGGAAGAACGAGAGTTTGGAGGCACCGGAACACGGCCTACACCGACTGTTGCATACGGCGGTGGCTCGGTAATAGTTTGGGGGTGTATCTCTTATGATTGCAGGTTGGATTTGGTCACCATAAAGGGCAACTTCACAAGGGCTCAGCACATCCGGGACGTTTTGAGGATAGCCATGGTTCATCATTTTGACAACCAACCTCTTGCTTCTCGACCTCAGAACATGGATGACAATGCCAGGCCTCACCGTCCACTTGCAGTCGTGGATTACGTGAGGGCCAATGCAATAACGACTCCATGAGCCAAGATTTGAACCTCCTTGAACATGTTTGGGATATTCTGGGGCGGCGCATACAGGCACGAGATCCTCCTGTACACGATTTACGCAAATTGGAAGCAGCATTGCATCAGGAGTGGTTGTTGTTGACCCTTCAAAAGATCCAACGTCTGACTGGGGCATGAGACGGGCACGTGGCGGTTTTACCCGCAGCTGATCTGTTTCGCGTGTCATGTCAAGTAGACTTTAAGGAACATTTTCACATGAAACATCAAACGTAATTCCTTTATCTAACCCTACAGCTCCATCCTTTTTGAGGCATTGTCTAAGGTCGAAAACAGTACATGTGTTACCATGGTGTTTTTGTCAGTAAATTTCAATCACAGCTCACCAATATCTTCTTTATTTGTTGTCAAAGGTTTGTTCTCTCCGATGACATTGGTATTGCCCAGCTCCTGTGGTCAGTCATCCAATGTCATGATTTTTTGCCATTTGTCATGGTTCTGAAATAGGGGTGTACTTAACTTTTTTCTTTGTGTATATTATTCCGCCTCTATGAATAAGAATTAAACCTATTATTTCGGCTGCTAATATTGAACTCAATCGGCTGAGCTGACTACCCGATCCATTAAGTTGCTAATTGAGACTCGCATGTATTGTAGGGAATCAATTCCAACCTGGAATTTGCTGTGATACCGGAAATAATGTAAATTCATTTTGATTCGTATTACTTGTTTTTAATATCATAAGCATATTTACAGTACAGGAATCAGTGTCAGCATTGCTGAAATACAGGTCCATCATATGGTACTTGAAACATGCATTTCGTCACATTGGACGTGAATTTATCCAATCAGAATAGACTTTGGTGTTGACTTCAAGGGGAGGCCGTTCTCGTGACACTTCGCGGGGTTGGTCGGCTCCAGGTCGGGCTTGAAACATTTCACTTTGGCAAAGATGCACCTTGAGATAAAGAAATTTTGTGTCAGGAAAGAACAAAATAATACAAGGATGTGCAGAGGTTCGTCTATCACTGAAACACACACTGTAGGTCACACTTGTCTTTAACTACTACTACTACTACTACTACTACTACTACTACTACTACTACTACTACTACTACTACAGCAACAACTACTATTACTACTACAACCACCACCACTTCTACTACTACTACTACTACAGCAACAACTACTATTACTCCTACAACTACCACCACTACTACTGCTACTACTACTACTACTACAGCAACAACTACTATTACTACTACAACCACCACCACCACTACTACTACTACTACAACCAATAATAATAAAAGTAATGGTGATGATGAAGGGGGGCGTCATGATCAATCCCAACAACAGCAACAATCTCACTTATAAGTCACACACTGTAGGTCACACATGTCTTTAACTAGGGACACGGGTGGCCCAGTCGTCTAAGGCGCCGCGATTCGCCGTGCAGAGATGTGTCCCTTGGGCACGCCAGAAATCTATGATTGTGGGTTCGAATCCCGGTTCGCCCCGATTATGATTCTAGGTTTGTCAGCACCATACACGTGCTCGTGGGTTTCACCGAAGTGGTAAACGTCTGAGACCTGCATCACCTCGGGCTTTCCTCCCACATTAAGCTGACACGCCGTGAGAAAACTGGAATACTGTTCAAAGCGGCGTTAAACCCAACTCACTGTCACACTTGTCTTTAATTAGTACTACTACTTCTACTACCGCTGCTGCTACAATTACCACTGCTCTCACTACTGCTACTACTACAACAACAACTAAGGTTGATATGGGGGTCATGATCTTTCCCAACAACAGCAACAATCTTACTGGTTCGTGTACACCTTCCCGTCCGTGGCACAGAGATCGGAGTCTACGTGATTCCCACAGATGATGGTATCGATGTTGGTACAGAAAACGTCTTTGATCAGGTCATATCCTGGGTCATGGCCCCACGTGACGGTGCTTGGAGGAATGGTGGTCATGTGATTGGCTGGAGATGACGTGACGTGACACGGTCCTTTGTGATTGAACAGCATGGCGGAAGATGGCTGACATCTAGCTTTGGCAAACACGCAGCTGAATGTGGATGGAAACATAGAAGCAGTATCTGGGAACTGCAAATATATAGTTTATTCGTATGTAGAGTAAAAAAGTAATAAATGTATATTCTTGATGTAATCTTTAATGGAAAGCAGAGCATTCCTGTGTGAATATTTAATAGGAAGTGTAATATTGAATGAAATGTAGTAAATTCCGGGTGTAATTCTAAATGAAAAGTTTATATTCCTGGTGTAATATTGAATGGAAAATAATATATTCCTGGTGTAATATTGAATGGAAAATAGCATATTCCTTGTGTAATTTGAGTGAAAAGTAGTAAATTCCTGGTGTAATATTAAATGAAAAGTAGTATATTCCAGGTGTAATATTGAATGAAAAGTAGTATATTCCTGGTGTGATATTGAATGAAAAGTGGCCATTTCTGGTGTAATATTGAATGAAAAGTAATATATTCCTTGTGTAATATTAAATGAAAAGTAGTAAATTCCCGGTGTAATATTGAATGGAAAGTAGTTTATTCCTGGTGAAATATTGAATGAAAAGTGGCCATTTCTAGCGTAATATTGAATGGTAAGTTGATATTCCTGGTGTAATATTGAAAGAAAAGTAGTAAATTCCTGGTCTATTTTAAATGAAAAGAAGATACTCCTTGTGTAATATTGAATTAAACGTTTTATATTTCTGGCGTAATATTGAATGAAAAGTAGCATATTCCTGGCGTAATATTGAATGAAAAGTAGGATATTCCTGGTGTAATATTGAATGGGAAGTTGATATTCCTGGTGTAATATTGAATGGGAAGCTAATATTCCTGGTGTAATATTGAATGGGAAGCTAATATTCCGGGTGTAATATTGAAAGAAAAGTAGGATCGCAATGCTGTAATATTGAGCGGGTATAAATTATAGTCAAACGCTTCAAATGTATGTGCAAGCAGTATATTTAATCAGTAATATTGACGGGAGAGTGTGATACGCCTGATGTCATATCATATTGAACTGCAGTTATGGTGAATGGAACGTAATACTAGTATATGCCTGATGTATCACCGAATGCGGTATTATACCCAGGGTAATATTAAATAGAAATAATCACTATTCCGTACTTCATTACATTGTATACACTACTTTCCTGTATTCCCCGTGAACACATACGGTCACGATGCAATAAAGCTGCTTGGTGGAACCTACGAGTCAAACCACGGTCTGGTCAAAAGAGATGGGAACAAGGGTATACACAGACCAATGAGAGTTCAGATTACATCGGCTCTACATAACGCTTCTATATCAGCCCATTCGTGACCAACTCGTGCTTTTCCGGGACAAGCCGAATAGCGACTCGTGTCGAATAGCGCATTGTTATACAGTATGATTGAACACCTTTAACTCTGTCTTGGGTATATTTTTAGATGCAAGACATTAATTCTAAGGGATTCTTTGACGAAGAACTTGAAATCATACGCGCATTCTGATTGGTTTGTCGTATTTTGGCACATAACATTCATCGATAGGGGGACGAGTCTTCTTGCAGGTTACGGAAAGGGGCGAGTGATGACGAATGATATCAGACAGCAGTAGGGTTTGCAAAGGTTTATGGATGGAGTTGTGATCATTTGACTTCCGTAAGCTATACGCGGAGTAGTATAGACGACGGGGATTCTGCATCGCCCATACCTTCACCAGGTCAAGCTCCTGACAGTGTGTGGACTCACTCCATTAAAGGACTCACAACAGACACGTGACACAGCTACACCGTAAGCAGGTCGTATGAATTCACGGGTGATAGGGGAATATAGTGAATACAAACCTGTGAGGTGTTGAAGAGGATCAGAGTTCAGAGCCGGTGTCCCGGTATAAACTCTCCCCCGTACAAATTCTCCCCCCGGAGATTTTATACCGGTACAAATTCTCCCCCGGAGAATCTGTTCTGAAATAAAATCTCCCCCGGGCGGATATATTTCGCTAACCCATCAGTATAAAGTCTGGTGCACGTTTATGGTTGGTGATTGTTCAGTAATGTCATGTGTGTATGTCGCATCAATAATATGTAGATATGATCGCCGATAATAAAGTAATTAGTCAATTACACTTTGGCCCGTCTTGGCCCGGCCCGACTTTTAGGCAATGCCCTCAACTATTGAACTGCATGGCAAGTATTTATAAAACGACCGAAGGAGGAAATATTCTTGGGGGAAATTTTATTTCGTAGGGTGGGAGAGAGTTTATTTCGAGAGGGGCGGAACTGTACCGGTATAAATTCGCCGGGGGGAGATTTTATTCTGGGGGCGAATATATTTCGTGACACCGGCACAAGGCAGGCTACCAGGAACTGGTGGTTCGCTACTTCTTTTTGCACCCTCCACAATTAGACCAACTCATTTACGATTATTCGGTCCCTGCACTTACTGGTCGGGGTAGGTGACTTGGTCCATGCCACATATTGTCTCATGCCCTGTGACTTTGTGTTGACTGCAGTCATACTTCAAGATGGCGGCGCACAACATGGCGGAGTAACCATGTCCGTGAATGTGGCTGAGGAGCTCTTCCACAGAATGCGTCGACCTGGCATCACCACTTAGTGTCCATTGAATATCGGACAGAAGCACTATAAACATATTTTGGTTATACTACATTACATACACAATTGGGTTACACTACAATATATGTAGACTTAGGTACATTACGCTATAAGTGAGTGAGTGAGTATGGTTTTACGCCGCTTTTAGCAATATTACAGCAATTTCACATTGTACCCATGTCGGGAATTGAACCCGGGTCTTTGGCGTGACGAGCGAACGCTTTATATAACCACTAGGCTACCCGACCGCCCCTACGCTATAAGTAGACTCGGGTGATATAACATGCTAACAATGTTGGAGATAGGGGGTCGAGGACCAGTAAGCTCTACCAGTAAGCACTGAAAAGTTGAAAAGAGTTCCGGGTCAGCATGGATAGCTCGGTCGGCATGGAGCTACGATTTTTGAGATCCAGAAGACAAGGGGGAGTGGCTGTGGGGTGGGGTGGGGGTAGGTGTTGTTGTTGTGTGTTGAGTAGCGGACGAGGTGGTGTGAGGTGTTTGCTAGGGACAGAATAGTTGTTTTTTGCCACAGCTTCAAGATATCCGATTTACTGACTTATCTGACCAGGACCCACTTGCAAAAAGTGATCTTAGCGCTACAACTATTGTAAGCCTATGTTAAAGTATGGGAGTTACGATCATCTTAGCGCTAAGATCGTTTTGTGCAAGTGGGCCCTGATCACCAGATTCCTTCAAAAGTGGGTCGTTACAGCTTGGCGCAAATGTTTGTTCAACAGAAACCTGACGTATAACTGCAGAAATATCACATGGTACAGTTACAGACTTAAAGACTCTCTACCATGTGTACACATTCAGAACTTGAGGCCAGACTCACCTATAGCCAGCTGAACAAACAGCAGTACCCGGGAAAACCACATGCTTTGTTTCAGTTAGCGTGGCGTGTTCTTAGAGAAAAACCCTTGCAATGCTGACCTCTTGAGATAAGGCCAAGCACGTTTGACATATATTGAATAATATTGCTACACTTGCTTAAAGTCTGTTAACTATCTGTAGAATTTGGTTTGTATGAAGTCAAATCCTTTAAGAGAAACTTGCTTGATTCAGCTGTCAGTGTTGCATGTTCATTCCCAAGTTGAAACGCGAAGAATAAACAAAATAATTAATTGTGAAATCAGTAAATGACTGCACAAGATAACTGAACAATCACACAGGATTATGTCTACAATCATAGAAGGCAATAAAATTGGTTAAATATGTGGCAGCAGCAATAAACAGGCAATAAAAGTCAGTTCACTGACGAATGTCCAGAATGTGTCATGTTCGTTTGTCTTGAACGAGACACGTGCTCCGTTCTGAAATCCACAAAACAGGAATCGTATCATTTTTATACAAACTGCATGGCAAACGAAAGCATTCAGTTGAAAACTGTTGCCTTCTACAAACTTTCAGAAGTCAATCAGTCTTGCAAGTGAACAACTGTAAACAACCCAACAACCATGTAAACAAGTTCCCCACAGTGGAGCTCTCTGTACCTGGAGAGTCAATATACAAACGTAACAAAACCCTTTCCATATTTATAAGAAATCTCTGCCCAAAGCATGATAACTTCATGTGTGTTCTGATCCAGTCAACGAAATCTACAAAGTGCATCTGCAATTACATTGTCTTAGTTATTGATATGTTTGATATCAAGGTTAAACTGTTGCATCCAAAATATATCCGTATTTCAGTAATAACAGATTATTTTATTTACACAAACATAGATACAATGTTCCAGTTCCATGATGACACTAATTACATGGTTCCAACCTAGTCTAGGATTGTGCATCAAAGCAGGAAACTTGCAACTCCTTAAAGGCACTACAGCTGCAGACTGTAGGCAGCCAGCAAGTATTTTGAAAAGTCATGTTATGTTTTACAACAAATCAAAAGAACAACTTGGATAAAAACAGGTAATACCAATGATGGCAAATGAAATGATCCAACCAAACAGTGTCAATATACCAAACTCATTCCTCCATGGTAGAATCAGTTGACATATTCCAAACAAGCAGTGTCAAGGTGCATGCAAGTCCAACCCTCAACCAGCAACAAATGGATTTTCCGGAATTTTGCCATCATACACGGATGGGGTGAGCCTTTGGTCATGCTTGCAATCAATGGTTCACCTAGTCCAGAATCGATCCATTACTGGCTGCCATCAAAGAGCTGGAATATTGCAGAGTGCAGCAACTCACTGTCGACGGTTTAGCCTTGTATGCTGTATCACAAACGGTTGTGCTTTCTTGTTGTGCTGATGTTCACCTTATCAACCATGCCAGATAACCTAACCACATGATAAACTATGTCACCAATTAACACCAGAATACGTTGAAGGGAATCTATACTAATCTTGAATCCCCAGGTTGAATACAAGCTTAAAATACATTGACGTGATACCAGAAACATTGGAAGTTCATATTTGTTAATGATTACTATCATAGGTATATTAACAGTACCGAAACCGGTGTTCACTTTACAACAGGTTTATTGACATTTGAAACTTTTAATTTGATACATCGGGTGTGAATTTATCCCACCAGAAAAGGGTTTGGTGTTGACTTCAAGGGGAGGCCATTCTCGTGACACTTCGCGGGGTTGGTTGGCTCCAGGCCTGGCTTGAAACATTTCACTTTGGCAAAGAGGCACCTTGAGATAGAAAATCAGTGTCTCAGGAAAGAATTAAAAAATACTAGGAACCGGGTGTGGGTGTGAGGGATGGAGTGGGGATGGGTGAGTTTGGGTGGGGTGGTTTGGTTTGGGGGTGAGATTGATTTATCACTAAAACACACATCATTAAAAATCACCGAAGTGGTAAACGTCTGAGACCTGCATCACTTCGGGCTTTCCTCTCACATTACGCCGTGATGTAACTGGAATACTGTTAAGAGCGGCGTTAAACCAAACTCACTCACTCACTCACTGAAAGACCCAGAGCGGTTTAATCTTCTTTATGGCTCATTCATTGGCATACTGTTTCTACAGCACCCGTAATGATTGTAATGTTTTCATCCCAGTTGCAAACCGGCTGTGTACAATATTTGGGCCATAGTTTAATAAACGCCATGAAGCCTGTTTATGTCAACAATAGAGAAATCACATTTGACACGTTTTGCAACACGTTCCTATGACTGTTCGTATGGGGAAAAACAGCTATTGACGGTTCCTGAAATTTTAAATATTGTGGAAAATTTAATTTAGGGAAACTGATTTGTGTGTGAGAATGTTGCCGTGTAATTGTCTTACTGGTTCGTGTACACCTTCCCGTCGGTAGCACAGATGTCGGAGTCTACGTTGTTCCCGCAGATGATGAGGTTGATGTTGGTACAGAAAACGTCCTTGATTAGGTCAAAGGCCGGGTCGTGGCCCCAGGTGACGGTGTTTGGAGGAATGGTGGTCATGTGACTGGCTGGAGATGGCGTGACGATACACGGTCCTTTGTGATCCATTCTAATGGTAGATGATGATTGACATCTTGCTTTGGCAAACACGCAACTGGATGTGGATGGCGAAAAAAAAGCTGTAACTTGGAACGGAATACAGTTTATTCGTATTGTAATGTTGAGCGGAAAATCAGTATATTCTTAATGTAATATTACAAGGAAAGTTGTTTGTAGCTTTGTTAATATTAAGCGGAAAGTAATATATTCCTGCTGTAATATTGAGTTGGAAAGTAAAATATTTGTATTTTAATATTGAATGAACAGCGATATATTCCTGCAGTAATGTTGAGTGGGAAGTAGTATATTCCTGCCGTAATGTTCAGTGGGAAGTAGTATATTCCTGCCGTAATGTTCAGTGGGAAGTAGTATATTCCTGCCGTAATGTTCAGTGGTAAGTAGTATATTCCTGCCGTAATGTTCAGTGGGAAGTAGTATATTCCTGCCGTAATGTTCAGTGGGAAGTAGTATATTCCTGCCGTAATGTTCAGTGGGAAGTAGTATATTCCTACCGTAATGTTCAGTGGGAAGTAGTATATTCCTGCCGTAGTGTTCAGTGGGAAGTAGTATATTCCTGCCGTAATGTTCAGTGGTAAGTAGTATATTCTTTCCGTAATGTTCAGTGGTAGGTAGTATATTCCTGCCGTAATGTTCAGTGGGAAGTAGTATATTCCTGCCGTAATGTTCACTGGGAAGTAGTATATTCCTGCCGTAATGTTCAGTGGGAAGTAGTATATTCCTACCGTAATGTTCAGTGGGAAGTAGTATATTCCTGCCGTAATGTTCAGTGGGAAGTAGTATATTCCTGCCGTAATGTTCAGTGGGAAGTAGTATATTCCTGCCGTAATGTTCAGTGGGAAGTAGTATATTCCTGCCATAATGTTCAGTGGGAAGTAGTATATTCCTGCCGTAATGTTCAGTGGGAAGTAGTATATTCCTGCCGTAATGTTCAGTGGGAAGTAGTATATTCCTGAACTGATATGTTCTTAATATAATAATGAATGGAAAATGGCATATTGCTGCGTTCGAATTGAATGTATTATAGTCAAGTACTTGTATTGTGTAGGTAATATTGAAAGTGAGGGGGGGATTATATGCCTGAAAATGAAAATGCAGTTATGGAAAATGGAAAGTATTATACTTCTGATGTATCACCGAATCGAAAATAGTATATACCCAGGATGATATTGAATAGAAATATTATTCCCGCGGCAATGTTGAATGGGGTATTTTGTTCATACCATAATATTGATCCTATAAGATAAAAGCTTGATTGGTTCCAAAGTCCAATTTACTAACATCGTCTACGCTTAATAGATTGTTATACACCACTTTGTCCCAGTGCCCGGGAATACATACAGTCGCTATGCAGTTGTATCGCTGTTTGGAACCAACGTGTCAAGGCAAGGACTGAGAGAGAACAAGGAAATGTTCAGACCACTGAGCGTTCAGATTACATCGGCTCTACACATCGCCTCCACATCATTCAACGGCAGGGTTCGCAAAAGGTACATGTACGGAGTTGTGTTCATTTGACTTCCGTGAGTTTTTCACGGTTACACTGTATCTCGGCCGTATGTATTCACGGGTGACGGAGGAACATGGTGCAGACAAACCCGTATGTATGGAAGATAATCAGAGTTCAGGTGGCACAAAGCATCACGACAAGGAGGTTGTGTTTTGCTGCCTCCATTTGCATCTGGTTGGCTGCGGTCATTGTATCCCTTCATCTGTTCCTCGTTTAATTTGGGGATTATGTTTCATCCCGTCAAAAAGTCAGCGGATTTGTGCTCTAGGATTTACAATTTATATACCAGTCGGTTTTCTAATCCCTTACTCCAAAAGGGCATGCTTTATTAGAATATTTTTTAAACTTTTTGAAATAAGATTTAGTAATAGGATTCCAGATCCACAACAAAAACCGGTTGTTCTTTTGGGTGCAGCCATCTTGTTTCCAAAGTATTCCTAGTAGTGACATAAAGACAAACTGATTTTAAACGAGGAAGGGGGTACGGTAACCACAGCAACTCATATTCGGCTCTTGAACACACTCACTAGTCGGGGTAGGTGACGTGGTCGGTGCCACACAATATCTCGTGCTTTGTGACGACGTGCTGACTGCAGTTAAACTCCATCATTGCGGCGCACATCGTGGCTGAGAAATCCGGGTGTCCGGGATCGGCGAGGGCCTGCTCCACTGGCTGCGCCGTCCTCGTCCTGGCCGCGTGTGTCCTCTGAATCTCGGACACGAGGACTACAAACATACTTTAGTTACACTACATAGCACACATATCTCGGGAGGACCACACTGTACTTGTCTAACATGAGTGAGTATGGTTTTACGCCGCTTTTAGCAATATTCCAGCAATATCACGGCAGGGGACACCAGAAATTGGCTTCACACATTTTACCAATGTCGGGATTCGAACCCGGATCTTCGGCGTGACGAGCGTACGCTTTAACCACAAGGCTACCCGACCGCCCCATTGTCTAGCGAGATGGCCTAGCTTTGGTTAGTCGTGGCCTATAGTCCGTGTTTTAAAACTGTATACATGAGATTGTTATGCCCAATATGTTTCATAAATTGTTTGTAAATATAACTTGGTATTCATGAACAAACTGTGTATATATCAACTTTGTCTCGTCGCTATATGGCTGAAATAATGCCTTGGGACGTTAAATTTTAACTCACTCACTCACTTGTCTAACACTAAACTGACCGCCTCCGTGGTTTCGTGGTAGAGCGTACGCTCGGTGAGCGGGTTCGATACCCGGCCGCGTCATACCAAACGACGTTAAAATGTGATATTTGTTGTTACTCTGTCTGACGCCCGGCATTAAATGGCTAAAACAAGGATTGGTCAGCTCGGAGTCAGTATGCGGTGTCTGAGTGGGTTTTCAAGTTAAACTGCGGCATGGTATCTCAGTGGGCTAGCACTATTAATCGGCATCAGTCCGGATTAGTACAACCCCCCCCCCCCCCCCCCCCCCCCCCACACACACACACACACACACACACACGCACACACGCACACACCCACACACACCCACACACACCCACACACACGTACATGCACGTCGCTATATAAGTGCAATAATCTTGGCCGCGACGTTTAACCCCATTTCACCCCACCTCACCTAACCCTAAACTAAATGTGCACTTAACACTACAATACATGTCTGACACTGTAAAACAGATACTCTCGGTTAATCCTACGGTACATGTATACATGTGTAACAGTTGGGGTACGAATCATTATATTTACATTTGGCTTATACGGCAATCCAGGTTCATTTGAGGAACACTTTACTGCACTAGAGGTACACGAAACTGGGATACAGAGAAGTGGAGGAACACTTAGATTACTGCAGATACTATTGGCTTACACTACACTAGAGGTACACGAAACTGGGATACAGAGAAGTGGAGGAACACTTAGATTACTGCAGATACTCTTGGCTTACACAAAGCCCCGTATTCACTTAGTTTATTCTGTACCACAGGTACATGTGGCTTTAGGGGGGAATGGGGGCCCAGTCGTCTGAGGCGCCCCGATTCGCTGTGCGAGTTGCGTCCCTTGGGCACTCCAGAAACCTATGAATGTGGGTTCGAATCCCGGTTCGCCTTGATTATGTTTCCAGGTTTGTCAGCACCATACCCGTGCTCGTGGGTTTGACCGAAGTGATAAATGGCTGAGACCTGCATCACTTCGGGCTTTCCTCCCACATTAAGCTGACACGCTGTGTAACTGGAATAATGTTAAAAGTGGCTTTAAACCCAACTCACTCACTCACTCACATGTGCCAATACTGTACTTCCTGTACATTTGACGTACGATATACTACCTGTACACTTAATTGATGCACGGAACACTGTACTTTTAGGTATACTCGGATAACACTATACTACCTGTACACTTAATTGACGCACGGAACACTGTACTTTTAGGTATACTCGAATAACACTCTACTAACTGTACACTTAATTGATGTACAGAACACTGTACCTTTAGATATACTCGGATAACACTATGCTACCTGTACACTTAATTGACGTACAGAACATTGTACTTTTAGGTATACTCGGATAACACTATCCTACCTGTATACTTAATTGACGTACAGAACACTGTACTTTGGGGTATACTCGGATAACACTATCCTACCTGTACACTTAATTGACGTACAGAACACTGTACTTTTTGGTATACTCGGTTAACACTATCCTACCTGTATACTTAATTGATGTACAGAACACTGTACTTTTTGGTATACTCGGATAACACGCTTCTACCTGTACACTGAATTGACGTACAGAACACTGTACTTTTTGGTATACTCGGTTAACACTATCCTACCTGTACACTCAATTGACGTACAGAACACTGTACTTTTTGGTATACTCGGATAACACGCTTCTACCTGTACACTTAATTGACGTACAAAACTCTGTACTTTTAGTTATACTCGAGTGACACTATACTACCTGTACACTAAATTGACGTACAGAACACTGTCCATTTAGGTATACTCGGATAACACTATACTACCTGTAAACTTAATTGACTTACAGAACACTGTACTACTACTACCTGTACACTTAATTGACGCACGGAACACTGTACTTTTAGGTATACTCGGATAACACTATACTACCTGTACACTTAATTGACGCACAGAACTCTGTACTTTTAGTTATACTCGAGTGACACTATACTACATGTACACTAAATTGACGTACAGAACACTGTCCATTTAGGTATACTCGGATAAAACTATACTACCTGTAAACTTAATTGACTTACAGAACACTGTACTACTACTACCTGTACACTTAATTGACGCACGGAACACTGTACTTTTAGGTATACTCGGATAACACTATACTACCTGTACACTTAATTGATGTACAGAACACTGTACTTTTAGGTATACTCGGATAACACTCTTCTAACTGTACACTTAATTGATGTACAGAACACTGTACTTTTAGGTATACTCGGATAACACTATATTACCTGTACACTTAATTGATGTACAGAACACTGTACTTTTAGGTATACTCGGATAACACTATACTTCCTGTACACTTAATTGACTTACAGAACACTGTACTTTTAGGTATACTCGGATAACACTCTACTAACTGTACACTTAATTGATGCACAGAACACTGTACTTTTAGGTATACTCGGATAACACTATACTACCTGTACACTTAATTGACGTACAGAACACTGCACCTTTAGATATACTCGGATAACACTATGCTACCTTTACACTTAATTGACGTACAGAACACTGCACCTTAAGATATACTCGGCTAACACTATGCTACCTGTACATTTAATTGACGTACAGAACACTGTACTTTTAGGTATACTCGGATAACACTATCCTACCTGTACACTTAATTGACGTACAAAACACTGTACTTTTGGGTATATTCGAATGACACGCTTCTACCTGTACACTTAATTGACGTTCAGAACACTGTACTTTTGGGTATACTCGGATAACACGCTCCTACCTGTACACTTAATAGACGTACAGAACACTGTACTTTTAGGCATACTCGGATAACACGCTCCTACCTGTACACTTAATTGACGTATAGAACACTGTACTTTTAGGCATACTCGGATAACACTATACTACCTGTACACTTAATAGACGTATAGAACACTGTACTGTTAGGCATACTCGGATAACACTATACTACCTGTACACTTAATAGACGTACAGAACACTGTACTTGTAGGTATACTCGGATAACACTATCCTACCTGTACACTTAATTGACGTACAGAACACTGTACTTTTAGGTATACTCGGATAACACTCTACTAACTGTACACTTAATCGACGTACAGAACACTGTACTTTTAGGTATACTCGGATAACACTATCCTACCTGTACACTTAATTGACATACAAAACACTGTACTTTGGGGTATATTCGGATAACACTATACTACCTGTACACTGAATTGATGTACAGAACACTGTACTTTTGGGAATACTCGGATAACACTATACTACCTGTACACTTAATAGACGTACAGAACACTGTACTTTTAGGCATACTCGGATAACACTATACTACCTGTACACTTAATAGACGTACAGAACACTGTACTTTTAGGCATACTCGGATAACACTATACTACCTGTACACTTGGCTTACACATACCATAGGTACACTTATTTTATGCTATGAATTATCAATAAATTGTGTCTACTTTGTGTGTATACACTACTGAACCAGTTCACACTGCATGTTTGGTGCATTAAACAAGGGAGTCAAACTAGACACCCATATTAAGCCACGGTCATGCCAGGCATTATAATAACGTTATCTTCCAAAGTGGGTCGTTTTATAGCCTTGCACAATACGGCATTTGTGTGGTCAAATGGAGACCTGGCGTTTACCTTCAAAACCATCACGTGTTCAATACTAGCAGACGCTGTACCCTCTGTGCACATGGAAGATGTTGAGGTTAGACTCACCAATAGCCAGCCCAGCGACCAATAGTGCCCGGGAACAACGCATAGTTTGTGTCAGGTGGGAAGATGTCAGCGTGGCGTATATCTCCTGGCAATGTTGACCTCTTGAGATAAACCCAAAATATTCATTTTAGAAATAAACGACTCGTGGTCGTTGTTTAAAAACAATAAAACACTGCATGGAGACTAATCACGATGGGCGTGGCCCCGAGTGGTCATACTCCTTGCAGTGTTTTATTGTACGATAAAAACCAACAACCACAAGCCTAAGATACTGGCTTCTATATTGCACAGAGGGTGGGCGTCACCTTGGACACCGGGTGTTCTCCTTCTCCCTTCTTTCTTCGCACAGGTCGGAATTTTGGCCAAGAAGCTTTATTTCAACTTCAGGCATATCGGTGGTCTGATATTGTTAAATAGTGGTCAAATAGCCTATTCCCTACCACCGATTTACCCACCTGAGCTAGATAAAGAGGAGACAAACGAAACCGCCTCGTCTGTTTTTATTTAGGTCTGCGCATATAGATTCAGAGTGAAAAACACCTACCCACAAGACGGAATGACAAAAGGGATGACTTCAGCTTTCCAGTGGTCAACTTTCTCTACGTGTCGGGCAATATCCCAACAGCTCCAGTCTTTGGTGTCTGCAATTTCATAGACCGCCTCCGTGGTCTTGTGGTAGAGCGTCCGCCCGGAGAGCGGAAGGCCCGGGGTTCGATCCCCGGCCGCGTCATACCAAAAGACGTTAAAAGATGGTACTTGTTGTTACCCTGTCTGGCGCTCGGCATTAAGGGGCCAAAACAAGGACTGGTCGGCTCGGAGTCAGTATACTGTGTCTGAGTGGGGTATCCATGTTAAACTGCGGCATGGTATCTCAGTGGGCTAGCACTATCAATCGGCATCAGTCCGGACTAGTACAAGCAGCCACACACACACATGCACGTGAATGCACGTCGCTATATAAGTGCAATAATCTTGGACGCGACGTTAAACCCCATTTCACCTCACCTCACCTCATAACCTTTGAGGTTCAATCGAGCTCTTTCTACGAAGATTTCAAAGAGCCTAATACAACTCTTGCTCAAAAGTTGTTTGAACCAAGTTTGAACATTCAAAGCCTTAGTAAAACTTTCAACATGTTTCAGGTGGACATGTCGAGGATATTTCCAGGGTCAAAGGTTGTGTCCGGTGTGGTTCCCTGTTTTGACTTGTGCTTTTGGGGGGTGAAAAAGTGAGGTGTCTTTGCGTGTGTTTGTGATGGGAGCAACCAGTGCCTCTCACCATTTCGCTAACACCTCGTTTCGTCATAATTTGATTGCGATTCACAAACACATGTTCATGACGTAGTCGTAATCGTACAATAGACGGAAATTTCTTATGATTATGCGTTTTGTCACTTCTATTTGCGTTCTTTTAGTTATGTGTAAATATCATAGTACAGCTTTAGTGTGGTTTTGTTGTTTGGTGATGTTGTAAAACATAAATATCACAGCAATTCGTCGGTGTGGTGTTGATGTTTGGTGTTGTGGAAAAGCATCAATATCAATGCATTGCGTCGGTGTGGTGTTGATGTTTGGTGTTGTGGAAAAACATCAGTATCACTGCATTGCGGCAGTGTGGTGTTGATGTTTTGTGTTGTGGAAAAACATCAGTATCACTGCATTGCGGCAGTGTGGTGTTGATGTTTTGTGTTGTGGAAAAACATCAGTATCACTGCATTGCGGCAGTGTGGTGTTGATGTTTGAATGAAACTTTAATTATACTTTAATCCAAGGACGTGATGCCGGAAACATTGTAAATTCATTTGAATCTTTGGTAATGGTTTTTAATGTCACGAGAATATTTACAGAACGGAAACTAGTGTCAGTATTGTTTAATTACAGGTTTATCATGGCACCAGAAACATTGAAACACTTCAGGCGTCACATGGGGTGTGAATTTATCCAATCAGAACAGACTTCGGTGTTGACTTCAAGGGGAGGCCGTTCTCGTGACACTTCGCGGGGTTGGTCGGCTCCAGGTCAGGCTTGAAACATTTCACTTTGGCAAAGAGGCACCTTGGGATAAAGAAACTTTGTGTCAGGAAAAAAAAAATAATACAAAGAAGCGCAGAGGTTCGTCTATCACTAAAACACATGTCATCAACTACAGTAATATGTTCATAAACACCACATATGTCTGTGTGTCTCTGTGTGTGTCTGTCTCTCTGTGTGGGTTTGTCTGTGTTTCTGTATGAGTCTGTCTGCGTCTCTGTTTGTCTGTGTGTATGAGAGAGAGAGAAAGAGAGAGAGAGAGAGAGAGAGAGAGAGAGAGTATGTGCCTCTGTGTGTTTGTGGGTGGGTATTGGTGTGGGTGTGAGTGTTTGTAGGGGTGGGGGTGTGTGAGGGGATGTGAGTGTGTGGGTGGGTATTGGTGAGGGTGTGGGTGTATATGTGTGTGGATGTGGGTGTGTTGGGTATTGGTGTGGGTGTGAGTGGGTGTGGGTGTGGGTGTAGGTGTAGGTGTAGGTGTGTGTTCATGTGGGTGTGGATGGGTATTGGTGTGTGGGGGGTGTTGGTATGGGTGTAAGATTGTGCGTGGGTGTCTGGGAGTGTGCGGGTGTGTGGGAGTGGATATGAGTGTGGGTGTTGATGTTTGGGTGTGTGGATGTGTGTGTGTGGAGGGGGTATTGGGGTGTGTGTGTGTGTGTGTGTGTGCATGTGCGGGGTTGTTATTGGTGTGTTGGGTGAGTGTGTGTGTGTGTGGGGGGGGGGGGGGGGATATCTCTACGTATATTCTATTTGTTTGTTTATTGTTTAACGACGCAAATATTCCAATTTCAGGTGAGGGTCGTGAAAAAAAAAGAAGAAATTTAGGAAGGACATGGCAGAATTGGGAAGTAAGTAGTCTATATTGAAACGTTTTGTGTAATTTTACATACAAATTATTCAAGAAATACTTTTTTTAAGAGAAGGGTCTTGAAAAATACGACTATTTGGGGATGTCAGCTGAATTGGACTAACTTTACAAAATGCCTTTGTCTCAGGCCCGCCTTTATTGAATGACTAATCAGTTACGTTTATTTAGTATTTCGTTTAATCAGATCAACCGCAAACAACGGCAACGGTCTTACTGGTTCGTGTACACCTTCCCGTCCGTGGCACAAATGTCGGAGTCTACGTGATTCCCACAGATGATGGTGTTGATGTTGTCACAGAAAACGTCTTTGATCAGGTCATATCCCGGGTCATGGCCCCAGGTGACGGTGCTTGGAGGAATGGTGGTCATGTGACTGTCTTGGGGTTGCGTGCCGCACGCTCCTTCGTAATCCAACTTAATGGTAGATGATGGTTGGCAGCTGGCCTTGGCAAACACGCAGCTGGATGTGGATGGGAAAATACAGCCCATTCAATAGTATTCATACAGTAAAACGGAAAATATTGTTGAATGGGAAAGTAAGATATTCATGAAATAACACTGAATGGAGAGTAATATATTCATCTTGTAATGGGGAATGGAAAAGTAGGCTATAAATGTGATATAAATGTGATGAAAGTGAATTGCAAACTAGCATATGCTTTTTTAATATTGAATTGAAAAGCTGACATCAAACTGACACGCCGTGGTATGACTAGAATACTGCCCAAAGCGGCGTTAAACTCACTCACTCACAATAGATATTGCTTTCTACAGAAACTTTATATATATATATATATATATATATATATATATGAACAGAGGTTCCAAGAGGAATATATTTTATATGTATTTGATATGGGTATGCACAACCGTATAGATGCATCTTATTATTTTCATGGGTCGAAGTTTGACGTTAACCTGATTATTATGACGAGAAACAAAACAAAAGTGGAGCACCAGTGACTTTTAACGTAACTATTTGAGAAATCTGACATTTTTTAGGTTAAAGTTAAACATCCTTTCAGATTTGTAACGAGCGACTGATGTTACAGGTTAATTCACATTCGTCACCACTCGCTCCTTTCCGTAACCTGCAAGAAGACTCGTCCGCCTATCGATGAATGTTATGTGCGAAAATACGACAAACCAATCAGAATGCGCGTATGATTTCAAGTTCTTCGTCAAAGAATCCCTCAGAAATAATTTTTGATTTTACATATGTCTTGCATCTAAAAATATACCCAAGATACAGTTTAATGTGTTCAATCATACTGTATAACTCCGTACGTCCCGATGTGCTTTAAATTGCATCTGAAATATATGTAATATATGGGGAAATGTAGGTGAACCGTTTCGCAACGAATTGACAATTGTTTTAGGTATGCCCGTTTGCGCTAAGACGGAACCCGGTCGCAAATATGGCCATGAGAGGGGCACGAGTCGCTATTCGGCTTGTCCCGGAATCACACGAGTTGTTCACGAATGGTTAATTCACTCTAGAGTGAATTTTAAGGTATTGATTTGAGCCTGCTGCACCGGCACACGATGCTTGTGATTTGACTGCTTCTAATTGCATCCACAAAACATTTAGGCCTACTCATATTCGATTATTCGGCCCTGAACACACTCACTGGTCGGGGTAGGTGACTTGGTCGGTGCCACACATTGTCTCGTCGTCTGTGACTTTGTGATGACTGCAGTCAAACTTCAAGATGGCGGCGCACATCGTGGCGGAGAAAGGATGTTTTGGTATGTGGGCGAGGGCCTGATCCACTGACTGGGTCGGCTTCGCTAGTGTCCATTGAATCTCGGTCAGAAGAACTACAAACATTTTTTAGTTGCACTATACTTGGGTTGCACTACATAGACACGAGTAACACTACTGGAATACTTAGGTAACACTCAACGATAGGCGCATTTAGCTTACACTATACTACCGGTGCACTTAAGTAGCACAGTACTGTAGGTACACTTGGTTTACACTAGACTGCTGGTATACTTCCGTAGCACTACACTGTAGATACACCAAACCTATGTTCAATGGACGTCAAGCCTGTTTCATCTACGTCAAGCTTATGTACAATGTTCGTCAAGGCTATGTACGAGGTCCATTCAATATATAATCAGCCTAACCTATTTGCTACTGCTCCTCACTTCTTCTTTTTCCACATAATCACCATTGAGGTCTATGCACTTTGTCCAGCGATGTGTGAGAGCTAAAAGCCCGTTGTGATAGAAACCATGGGGTTGTTCGTGTAACCACCCCTCCACTGCTGTCGTGAGTTCATCATCGGACGGGAAATGACGTCCACGCAGTTCTTTCTTCAAGTTTGGGAAGAGAAACTAGTCGCTTGGTGCCAGGTCTGGTGAGTAAGGTGGATGAGGCAATACTTTGAACCCGTTCCGCTTCACTGCGGCAACCGCAAGTCGACAGGTGTGCACTCTGGCATTATCATGTTGGAGCAGCACACCTTTTGTGATCTTTCCACGACGTTTGGCAAGAATAGCAGTCCGCAAATGGTCCAGGAGATCGGAGTAGTACTCTCCAGTAATAGTCTGGCCACGTGGCAAGTAGTCAATGAGCAAGACCCCTTTGGTATCCAAAAAGATGGTTGCCATGACTTTGCCAGCCGATGGTTGAGTCTTAAACTTTTTGGGACGGGGTGAAGCAAAGCCAGTCCACTGCTTACTCTGTTCTTTGGTTTCTGGGTCATAGTGGTGTACCCAGGTTTCATCACCAGTTGCAATTCTCTCCATAAAGTTGTCTGCATCCCGACTGCATTGCGTCAAAAGTGCCTGACACATTGAAGCACGTACAGCCTTCTGATCATCACTCGGGACGACATTTCGGGACCCATCGGGCAGACAGCTTCCTCATACCCAGACGATCATGCAAAATGGTATGGACTCTTCCCTCTGAAATGTCCAAGGCCTTGGCCATTTCTGACACCTTCATTCGCCTGTCTTTGACAACCAGTTGTCTCACAGCTTCACTGGTTTGGTCATTGGTCACCTCGACAGGCCTGCCAGGGCGTTGCTCATCTTCCAGGTTCACCCGACCCCTCTTAAATTCTGCAACCCAGAATTTGACCTGTGCATACGAAGGTGCACTGTCACCATAAACATCTGACAATTCATCATGTATCTCCTTTCCCGGTTTCCCTTTTAAGTAGAGGTACCTAATAACAGCCCTGTATTCAACCTTTGACGGAAATTTGGCAGAATCTACCCTTGCCATCTTTATAGATCACGTGTGTGACTTCAAATACAATTTCCTCAGTGAAACTTTGTCTATGCACGTGACATACATTGGTGCACAGCACGTGACAAACATGCAACCGTTAAGATCTGATAAATAGCTTAGGCTGGTTATATATTGAATGGCCCTGGTATCATCTACGCCAAACCTATGTTCAATGGATGTCAAGCCTGTCTCGTCTAGAAACACCACGGTACAAGTATGTCAAACATCCGACTAGTTTACGTGAACAATTGGTCTTCTCCGGTCATCTTGTCATATTTACGCCTGACCTGTCTACGCCCAATTCATGTCTAGTCTTATCAGTCTATATCTCATCTACGTTTACCGACTTATCTGACCTGATCTCCAGTTACTTTCAAACGTGGGTAGTTTTAGCATGGCACAAGTCAGAAATTGTTAGGTCAAATGGAAACCTGGCGTAAAACAATATTAACATCACGTGGCACAGTCAAAGACGTCGAGGCCAGACTCACCAAGAGATAGCCCCAGAATCAGCAGTCCTCGGGAACAGTGCATGGTTAGTTCCAGGTGTGAAGAGGTCAGCGTGGCGTATACCTGAAGACAAACTGGCAATGCTGACCTCTTTAGATAAGCCCAGAATATATGCCATATATAGCATGATATTGCTTCATTCACTTAAAGGCTTGGGATTACTTTTGTTTGTTTGTTGTTTAACGCCGCACTCAGACAATCCAGTGATTGACAACATCAGCATCGATCCACGTAATTGGGATCGATGAAATGCATCAACCAAGTCAGCGAGCATGACCACCCGTCACCTCTTACGACAAGTATAGTCACCTTTTAGGGCAAGCATGGGTTGCTGAAGACCTATTCTACCCGGATCTCCTTCTTTGTACCCAATAAACATCAACATGGTTCATTGATCTGATCCTTCCTTGTAAAAGTCGCAGCAACATGGTCCATTGTTTGGGTCCTTCCTTGTATCAAAGAACCATATGGCTGTGATGTTTATTGGCACATGCCAGTCATCAGGATGTGTCACATGGACGCATGTTTCACAGGTGTAATGTGCAAAGTTTGACCTTTGTTTGCTACAGCCAAAGTAGACACAATTTATGGATAACATCTTTAATTACTGTAAAGGCGAGTTTTGGTATAGATCCTTATACTGTTGTCAAGCAAGGCTATCCGCGTTCAGCAACTGTGTCTGATGCAACTGGTCATTTCATTCTTACATCTAAACGGGTGTTCCCTTAAATACTCTGCCTCGTAGGTATGTCTCTTTCTAGCAAAACGTGTTTCCTCAAACTGTGGATAGCCAGCTCCACGCCTCACTACACCTGGATGTACTCTATGCCATCTAGAAATAACACACACAATAACATAACAAGCTTGTTTATTGTAAAGCCAGCAATACAGTTATCTATGACCAACGTTGACATGTCTTCCATCTACATCTCATACACATGTGTCTATTGTTAAAAGGACACACGCCCATGTGAAGGACATTCTGCACGACACACATCAGGACACATGTCCATATGATGGACATACAGCACGACACATATCAGGAGATCTGGTAGTCTGGTTTCAGCTTTTTCTTCTCTCCATATCTGTTTGGTCTGTCATAGTCGATTCCTGGTTCATACCTTGGCTTCAGTTGTCTTGGTTCTCTCAATGTCACCACATCTTCAACTGCCTTCATAAACGCCTCACGCTGAAATTGAATCAGAGAAATGTGACACAGCACGACAGATGTAATACAGAAACTGACAGATGTGTTACAGAAACTGACAGATGTGATACAGAAACTGACAGATGTGATACAGAAACTGATAGATGTGTTACAGAAACTGACAGATGTGTTACAGAAACAGAAATGTGTAACACAGAAACTGAAACATGTGATACAGAAACTGACAGATGTGTTACAGAAACAGAAACGTGATACAGAAACTGAAACATGTGATACAGAAACTGACAGATGTGATGCAGGAACTGACAGAAATGATACAGAAACTGAAATATGTGATACAGAAACTGAAACATGTTATACAGAAACTGATAGATGTGTTACAGAAACAGAAACGTGATACAGAAACTGACAGGTGTGACACAGAAACTGAGAGATGGGATGCAGGAACTGACAGAAATGATACAGAAACTGAAATGTGTGATACAGAAACTGAAACATGTTATACAGAAACTGATAGATGTGTTACAGAAACAGAAACGTGATACAGAAACTGAAACATGTGATACAGAAACTGACAGATGTGTTACAGAAACTGACAGGTGTGACACAGAAACTGAGAGATGGGATGCAGGAACTGACAGAAATGATACAGAAACTGAAATGTGTGATACAGAAACTGAAACATGTGATACAGACAGATGTGATACATAAACTGACAGATGTGATACATAAACTGACAGATGTGATACAAAAACTGACAGAAGTGATACAGAAACTGAAATGTGTGATACAGAAACTGACAGATGTGTTACAGAAACTGACAGATGTGATACAAAAACTGACAGATGTGATACAGAAACTGACAGAACTGATACAGAAACTGACAGATGTGATACAGAAACTGACAGATGTGATACAGAAACTGAAACGTGTGATACATTAACTGACAGAAGTGATGGTAGCCATACGACCAAAAGGAAACTCACAGACTCGGAAGGTGTGTCGTCTTCTGCCCTGTCATAGAAGACACTGGTCAGTCCACTCTCCACACACCGCTGGGCCAGCACTCGGCCAACGTTCTCTGCTGCGGACACATCTGAGGTGCTGTAACAGACAGAACAGTATGTGTTGTCAATCAAGCAATACCTGGAGTTTCCATGTGATCACCACCCACCTGTTCCCAGACTGTCTACGTCATCATACACATGTACAGCTGTTCCCGGAAGTCTACATCATCACCCACCTGTACAGCTGTTCCCGAACTAACTACGTCATCACCCAACTGTACAGACGTTCTCAGACTAACTACATCATCACCCACCTGTAAAGCTGTTCCAGGACTGCCTACGTCATTATCCACCTGTACAGCTGTTCCTGGACTAACTACGTCATCACCCATCTGTACAGCTGTTCCCGGACTAACTACATCATCACCCACCTGTAAAGCTGTTCCAGGACTGCCTACGTCATCATCCACCTGTACAGCTGTTCCTGGACTAACGACGTCATCACTCACCTGTACAGCTGTTCCTGGACTAACGAAGCATCACCCACCTGTACAGCTGTTCCAGGACTAACGACGTCATCACCCACCTGTACAGCTGTTCCTGGACTAACGACGTCATCACTCACCTGTACAGCTGTTCCTGGACTAACGAAGCATCACCCACCTGTACAGCTGTTCCTGGACTAACGAAGCATCACCCACCTGTACAGCTGTTCCTGGACTAACGACGTCATCACCCACCTGTACAGCTGTTCCTGGACTAACGACGTCATCACCCACCTGTACAGCTGTTCCTGGACTAACGACGTCATCACCCACCTGTACAGCTGTTCCTGGACTAACTACGTCATCACCCATCTGTACAGCTGTTCCCGGACTAACTACGTCATCACCCATCTGTACAGCTGTTCCCGGACTAACGACATCATCACCCACCTGTACAGCTGTTCCTGGACTAACGACATCATCACCCACCTGTACAGCTGTTCCTGGACTAACGACGTCATCACCCACCTGTACAGCTGTTCCTGGACTAACGACGTCATCACCCATCTGTACAGCTGTTCCCGGACTAACTGCGTCATCACCCATCTGTACAGCTGTTGCCGGACTAACTACGTCATCACCCACCTGTACAGCTGTTCCTGGACTAACTACGTCATCACTCACTGGTACTGCTGTTACTGGACTAACTAGTTCATCACCAAACCTGTACAGCTGTTCCTGGACTAACTACGTCATCACCCACCGGTACTGCTGTTTCTGGACTAACTACATCATCACCAAACCTGTACAGCTGTTCCTGGACTATGTCATCACCCACCTGTACAGTTGTTCCTGGACTCCCTCTGTCTCCACCTACCTGTACAGCTGTTCCCAGACTGCCCATGTCATCACCCACCTACCTGTACAGCTGTTCCCAGACCGCCCATGTCATCACCCACCTACCTGTACAGCTGTTCCTGGACCACCCATGTCATCACCCACCTACCTGTACAGCTGTTCCCGGACCGCCCATGTCATCACCCACCTACCTGTACAGCTGTTCCTGGACCACCCATGTCATCATCCACCTACCTGTACAGCTGTTCCCGGACTGCCTCTGTCTCCACCCACCTGTACAGTTGTTCCAGGACTCCCTCTGTCTCCACCTACCTGTACAGCTGTTCCTGGACCACCCATGTCATCATCCACCTACCTGTACAGCTGTTCCCGGACTGCCTCTGTCTCCACCCACCTGTACAGTTGTTCCTGGACTCCCTCTGTCTCCACCTACCTGTACAGCTGTTCCCGGACCGCCCATGTCATCACCCACCTACCTGTACAGCTGTTCCTTGACCACCCATGTCATCACCCACCTACCTGTACAGCTGTTCCCGGACCGCCCATGTCATCACCCACCTACCTGTACAGCTGTTCCTGGACCACCCATGTCATCACCCACCTACCTGTACAGCTGTTCCCGGACCGCCCATGTCATCACCCACCTACCTGTACAGCTGTTCCCGGACCGCCCACTCCCGTGTAGATGCTGACACAACTGTCTCCCCATTCATGTGCTCCACCCAAGCTGATGTGTGGCGAGCACTTCTCTCAAAAAACAACCTGGGTGAAAACAATAGTGTCTGGTATTCTTTCAAGTCTCTATATATATATATATATATATATATATATATATATATATATACAGATGCTAACATCACAACCCCCCCATAGCAACATATATTCATAGACAGAAATTCATACTAACTGCTGAAGAAGTTGTTGGCCTATAGGGTAATACTGAGACCAACAATGTTCCCAGGCAGAAAACAGGAATTGTTCAACTGTGTCATGTTAACAGCCAGTATATCAGTAGTGTTCTGTGGTGTCATGTTAACAGCTAATATATCACTAGTGTTCAATTGTGTCAGGTTAACAGCTAGTATATCACTAATGTTCAATGGTGTCATGTTAACAGCCAATATATCACTAGTGTTCAATTGTGTCAGGTTAACAGCTAGTATATCACTTCTGTTCAATGGTGTCATGTTAACAGCCAATATATCACTACTGTTCAATGGTATCATGTTCACAGCCAATATATAACTATTGTTCAATGGTATCATATATCACTATGTTCATGTTAACAGCCAATTTATCATCAATGATCCATGGTATCATGTGAAAAGCTATAACCACATTGTTGACAGTAAATATATAATTGAAACAAACATCAACTTACTTGTGATAGAAATTCTTTCTGGGATATTGCAGAATCCAACCTTGTCTTTTCCTTGCAATTCCCATTGTTTCTAAATTTCTGAAACACACAGTGAATGCGACTAAAGAGATTGTTTTCATGATATAATATTCCATTCAAAACAATGCCATGATAAAATCATATTCTTTTCTGATTCCTGCAAAAGAATTAAAACTTTGATGGATAAAAAAACAACACATGCCAAGAGGGCACTCACCAAAAACAGCCGGCACAACGATAAGGGTATTGTTGCAAGTGTCAAATTTTGTTTCTAAAGGTTTGCCTATATGCATGGTGGGATAATTATTCTGGAGAGCTAAGCAGAATGATTCTTTCCTCTAGATGAACCTTAGAACACTGAGAACCCTAGATACGGCATCTTCCTGAGGCAAGGGAGTTAACTCAGAGTCAATGTCCAGTTCCCAACCTTGCCGAACAAGGCAGCAATTACAGTGTTCCCATGTACCGGTAATTACCAGTTTTGTACCGGTAAAATTAGGCTTGGACCGGCTTGGACCGGTACTTCATGTGACTGCTACTCCCTGTGGACCGGCATATAGTACCTTATAAATCTTTGTTGAACAAGCATATTATATTCATAAAAGTATATTTTTGAACGAAGTCAGTTTGTTACCATCAGGTTTTTTTTAGTGCAAGTAAATAACATTTTGCTTTGCTTTGAGGTTAAATATATATTTCTTGCGACTTATATATAATATTCAAAAAAGAGACAGAAAATTGTAACTGAACTTGACTGAACGTGCAAATAAGTTACTTCAGAGAGTTACATCATTGCATTGAACATGATGTTGACAGAATTAAAACCAAGTAATTTTCATACGTTTTTTATTTGTTGAAAGTTGGGGCTGACAAAAATTAGGGGGACTGATAATTTTTAGAGTTGCAAGTCCAGGTCTGCCAGTTTCAAAAACCAGTGGGAACACTGAAATATGGAGTTATATTTTAGCTGGACTACCGAGTCTATGCATAGTCCAATCAAAATAGCAGAACAAAATAGACATTGGGTTCATAAACAACATGGCGACTGCCGTGCAGATATGGTCGATTGCAGGATTTGCAGGGCACATGTGCACTGGGCGTCGACAGAAAATTTCCAAATGTTCTCATGTTTTAATCAAGGTGCTCAAGTGATTTGATGTGCTTTGCAAGGTAAGCATGGTAAGATTCACTTCATTACAATATAGATCACCATTCTGTTTGAAGCAAATGCAAGTGGAAGGAGAGCTGGGAACTTATTGGTCAATCGGAGGGACATAGAAGGGGCGTAAATCCCACAAGTGGCGCTACAATTGAATCACGAAATTCCAGCCTAGTTCGGCAAGTGTGGAAACTGGACTTTTATCGTCAGTTAACTAACTTGCCCCGAGAAGATGAATATATGGTTACTATGGTTACAGCAGTGCCATACCTTCTGCTCCTACAGACTCACCTGGGGTTTTTGTTCAGGAACACTGGGTTTACTTTGAAGTCTTTGTTAGGGCTGTCATCATGGTATCTCAAACATGTGCTCCCAAAACCTGCACAAAAAATGCAAAGTGATGTAGAATACAGAGAAGTTTCATACTTGGTCAACATATACAGTGTACATGCCAACAGGTATTTATGTCACAGTCAGTGTGTAAAATGGGATTCACTTTGTAAATTGCCTAAATAATTATGTCAATTTACAATTTGACTGAAAAATCTGTTCTTTTTTTTGACAGTTTGACAAAAAATGATAAAGATGCTCAATATGCCTTAAAAACATCACAATAATTTAATTATGTAAGGATAAGATATGGATGAACAACATGATTATTACAATTAGGAGAACACTTCGGCGTAGGTTCTAACACTGTTATGAAGCAAGACACATCGCATGCTTAATAATGGTGTAAGAACCTACATTAAAACGTCGCTCTTAATTGTAATAATGACGTTTTTCATCCACATAGCTTATCCTTACTTACTACTCAAACATCTAAATGCCTCTCAAAGAAGTTAATCTAAATATGCTAGGATTAGATGTGCTTTTCAGTTGGCATCTATCAGTATGTTTGTCACAGAAGCTTTTCTGAATGTAACTGTGGGTAAGCATGGTAAGTGAATCTGGCGATCGACTGATACACAATCCTTTTATCTAACAGTTGTAATATACACACTCATTTTATCTAATAGCTATAATATATGCATTGATTTTATGTCAATGGCGTATTTATAGTTTTTGTTGAGTACATGTATCTGATACCCTAGGATTTGATTTGTCCACATATTTCAGTAGATTTTAAGTGTATTTTACTCTTAAGCTCTGTTTAATACACAGGGTTGTATCTCTACACATGATACAAAGACCAGCTCAAAGGCTGATACCCAGGGTCAGTAATGAGGACAAGGCTTTAATCCTGTTAATCCCATCTTCCCGAGACAAGGGCGTCAACTGACTATAAAAGTCCAGTTTCAACCCTTGCCGAACTGGGCTGGAATTTCATGGCTTGATCTTTACGCCACCAGTAGCTATTACGAGGTATGTCCCTTCTATGTCCCTCCTATTGACCAATCAGATTACATCTCTCATATCACTTGCATTTGCTCCAAACAAAATGGAGGTGCCAAGTCAAGACGATCTGATGGATATTCAAGACATGTATTGTAATAAACCAGGTCTTACCCTGCAAGGTGTATCAAATCACTTGAACACCTTGATAACAAACGTGAAAACATTTGCAAAATATCTGTCGATGCCCAGCTTTGCAAAGCCTTCAGTCGACAAAAATCTGCATGTTGAAATCCATTTTGTTTTCAAACCGGATGTCTAGCGGTTTTGATGAGACTGTGCAATGACTCATTAGTCCAGCCAAAATGTAACTCCAGAATTCCACCCTAATTCAGCATGGCTTAGAGTTTTACATTATTGCATTGAATGCAACTTAAAAATAATATTTATGTGCCCCGTCTGGGACATCTGCTGAGTGAGTGAGTTTGGTTTTACGACGCTTTTAGCAATATTCCAGCAATATCACGGCGGGGGACACCAGAAATGGGCTTCACACATTGTACCCATGTCGGGAATCGAACCAGGGTCTTCGGCGTAACCACTAGGCTACCCGACCGCCCCAAAGGAAGCAAGAGCATTGATCAAGTGACGTTTGCAACTTGCTGAACGACACATGGCAAAGCATGTAGCAGGTGGGCACACATCAGAATATAGTTGCCTAAACACTGCATATTTCCCATGTCGGGAATCGAACCCGGGTCTTCGGCGTGACGAGCGAACGCTTTAACCACTAGGCTACCCGACCGCCCCGGACATCTGCTTAAGGGACCATAGGTTATTTTCTACTTAAATAGCTCCTGGAGAGTGCCAGAGCGCCAAAGACGAAGGGCCCTTCCTTGAGTAAATTTGGACTATGTTTTGGCGTGTACTGGAGAGTTAAATCCCTTGCCACAACGCTGTGGGTTTGACACTTTGAACAAAATAGTGCCAAGGGCATTTAGTTTAAAACACGAGATAAATCCCTGTTACTTTGAGCCAATAAAATTAGGTGATTTCCACAGCTTTTTAACATAACTTGATCTCTAATATCGTGGCGTTACAGTATCACCTTGTCTAACGTGTGTTTTACAGTGATCGAATACTGGACACTCGGCCTACGGTCATGTTTTACCCTGGATTCTCTGTCGCCAAGTTGTTGTGCAGGAAAATGACCCCGTGTCGATCCAAGCTGGACAAACCACCCTAGAGAATCTGGTAAACATTATGTGCACAGTATCCTTCAGCTCAGAGCTAAAGAACTTTTTAGTTTGTTTAGCTCTAAATTGTATTCGACATGCGTGAGAACACGCCGGAAGTCGCAGAGCTCCAGACAGCGTCTGAAGATAAATACACGCGCAGCCCTGGAGCGTTTGGCTGACAAGCGTTTGAAGGGAGGACTGCTGATTATGCAGTTTATACACATAGAATGTCGATAATTAGAAAGGAATATAACCGATCCAACCCGTTATTGCTGTCCGACGCCTTCAATATGTCGGTCATCTCAGAAAATGTCACTTTATTAATGTGCAAAAATGTCAAAATAGTTCAAAACAACTCGACTCTGTCATGTATTTATAGTCAATCTGACAAGGCATGGCAAGATTAACTATAGTAATAAGAAAGAATGGGGGATTACTTTAACTTCTTTTGAGTAGCAAATTTTGAAAGCACACACAAAGACACACGCATGCACGCACTCACAGGCACACACATACACCCCATGCACTCATATATCACAGTGACATAACATCGACATGCGTGTCTTTGATTAAATTGCAATGTCGACATCAACACATTTGGTTTGTGCTTAGGGTGAATTACAGAATATTTAATAGATATAACAGTTTACCTGGAAGTGATTACAGACACAACAGATTAATAGAATGACACTGTAGAGTCTTCTATAAAACCAGTATTACAGGTTTTAAATAGTCTATAACTTCGTGGAGATGGATGAGGAAAAATGGGGGTTGACGTCACGTTGAAGATTATTGCACTCAAAAAGCAACAACAGGTGTATGTGTGTGTGTGTGTGTGTGTGTGTGTGTGTGTGTGTGTGTGTGTGTGTGTGTGTGTGTGTGTGTGTGTGTGTGCGCGTGTGTTTGTGTGTGTGTGTGTGTGTGTGTGTAGTTGGCACTCAGCGATATTCCAGCTATATGACGGCGGTCTGTTAATAATCGAGTCTAGACCAGACAATCCAGTGATTGACAACATGAGCATCGTTCCACACAATTGGGATACGATGACATGCATCAACCATGTCAGCGAGTCTGACCACCCGATCCCGTTAAGTCGCCTCTTACAAGGAGAGTCGCCTTTTACGGCAAACATGGGTTGCTGAAGACCTATTCTAACCCGGATCTTTACAGGTCCGGGAAGATGGCTACGCGTATGAAACTCAAACGATACCACACTGGGACTGGCACTGCAAATAATTTTGGTCAACAGATACCCAGTGTAACAGACTCTGTTTTATAGTTAAGAAATGAAACGAGGCCGTTTACAATAAATGGAAGTCAAATTAGCCCTACTCCGTGCATGGTCTTACCCTTTCGTAACCAGATTTGTTTGTTTTTTATAGCCGCACTTAGAAATATTCAAGCTATAAGGCGGCTGTCTGTAATTAATCGAGTCTGGATCAGACAATCCAGTGATTGACATCATGAGCATCGATCCACGCAATTGGGATACGATGACATGTATCAACCATGTCTTCTAGTCTGACCACCCGATCCCGTAAGTCGCCTCTAACGACAAGCATTGTCATATTTTTTCGGCAAGCATGGGTTGCTGAAGTCCTATTGTAACTCCAATTTTACGGGTCCCCGATGTAAGCAGAGTGCTCATGTATCTGTGCACTCGCTGGAACCGTGTGTATTTACAAGTGATGGGGAAACGTAGGGTAACGTGAGGTATTACAGACAGACAGATTGTTTATTTGAGACACATACAAATTACATTTAAAAATAGTAGACAGAATATGTAAAATACATACTACTACTACGACAACGAATATGTATTACAGACAGGTTGTTTATCGAAGACCCCTACAAATTACATTTAAAAATAGTAGACAGAATATGTAAAATACATACTACTAGGCAGATTGTTTATTTAAGACTCCTACAAATTACATTTAAAAAAAAGTAGACAGAATATGTAAAGTACATACTACTACTATAGCAACGAATATGTATTACAGACAGGTTGTTTATTGAAGACCCCTACATATTACATTTAAAAATAGTAGACAGAATATGTAAAATACATACTACTAGACAGATTGTTTATTTAAGACTCCTACAAATTACATTCAAAAATAGTAGACAGAATATGTAAAGTACATACTACTACTATAACAACGAATATGTATTACAGACAGATTCTTTATTTAAGGCTCATACAAATTACATTTAAAAATAGTAGACAGAATATGTAAAATACACACTACTACTTCGACAACGAATATGTATTACAGACACAGATTGTTTATCGAAGACTCATACAAATTACAATTAAAAATAGTAGACAGAATGAGTAAAATACATTCTACTAGACATATTGTTTATTTAAAACTCATACAAATTACATTCAAAAATAGTTGACAGAATATGTAAATTACATACTGCTTGACAGATTGTTTATCGAAGACTCCTACAAATTACATTTAAAAATAGTAGACAGAATATGTAAAATACATACAACTAGACATATTGTTTATTTAAGACTCATACAAATTACATTTACAAATAGTAGACAGAATATGTAAAATACATACAACTAGACATATTGTCTATTTAAGACTCATACAAATTACATTTACAAATAGTAGACAGAATATGTAAAATACATACAACTAGACATATTGTCTATTGAAGACTCATACAAATTACATTTACAAATAGTAGACAGAATATGTAAAATACATACAACTAGACATATTGTCTATTGAAGACTCCTACAAATTACATTTAAAAATAGTAGACAGAATATGTAAAATACATACAACTAGACATATTGTCTATTGAAGACTCCTACAAATTACATTTAAAAATAGTAGACAGAATATGTAAAATACATACTACTACTACGACAACGAATATGTATTAAAGACAGGTTGTTTATCGAAGACTCCTACAAATTACATTTACAAATAGTAGATAGAATATGTAAAATACATACAACTAGACATATTGTCTATTGAAGACTCCTACAAATTACATTTAAAAATAGTAGACAGAATATGTAAAATACATACTACTACTACGACAACGAATATGTATTAAAGACAGGTTGTTTATCGAAGACTCCTACAAATTACATTTAAAAATAGTAGACAGAATATGTAAAATACATACTACTAGACAGATTGTTTATTTAATACTCATACAAATTAGATTTAAAAATAGTAGACAGAATATGTAAAATACATACTACTAGACAGATTGTTTATCGAAGACTCCTACAAATTACATTTAAAAATAGTAGACAGAATATGTAAAATACATACTACTACTATAACAACGAATATGTATTACAGACAGACAGATTGTTTATTTAAGACTCATACAACTTACATTTAAAAATAGTAGACAGAATATGTAAAATACATACTACTACTACTATACCAACGAATATGTATTACAGACAGACAGATTGTTTATTTGAGACTCATACAAATTTCATTTAAAAATAGTAGACAGAATATGTAAAATACATACTACTACTTCGACAACGAATATGTATTACAGACACAGATTGTTTATCGAAGACTCCTACAAATTACATTTAAAAATAGTAGACAGAATGTGTAAAATACATACTACTACTATATAACGAATATGTATTACAGACAGATAGTTTATTTAAGACTCATACAAATTACATTTACAAATAGTAGACAGAATATGTAAAACAGACGGGACCACTCACCACGGAGTTACAGGAGACTAAGATGAGAAAAATACCCACGCTTATATACTATCTACCAGGTGCTATGTGCACACTTAAGATTGTTTGTTTGTTTGTTGTTTAACGCCGCACTCAGCAATATTACAGCTTTATGACAGCGGTCTGTAAATAATCGATTCTTGACCAGACAATCCGGTGATTGACATCATGAGCATCGATCCACGCAATTTGGATACGATGACATGCATCAACCATGTCAGCGAGCCTGACCACCCGATCCCGTAAGTCGCCTCTTACGACAAGCATAGTCGCCTTTTACGGCAAGCATGGGTTGCTGAATACCTATTCTACCCCGGATCGTCACGGGTTGACACACTTAGGAATATAATAAGCACTAAATACACATTTCTAAAGCTTATTACATTTAAAAAAAATCATATAGGACTGATTTTCTCTGTTTTAAAATAGCACGGAAGGTGTTGTTTCTTACACTGTACATTTCACATAATAAAATAAAACAAACTTTTGAATATCACAGACAATTAAAATTACTATTTACCTTGTGACAGGTTTTAATTACGTGCCCTATTGCAGACAGGACAAAATAGCAGGACATGAATTTCGTTTTCAACAGCTTCTGTACTGATAACAAGTCCTTTCGGAAGGTCAGTCGGAAGGTTACAATATCCTTCTGTCTCCAAACTTACTCCTCGGGTACCCGATCCCCTATTACTCGACCCTACCCGGGTACCCACTGAAGGTCTCAAGCGTTCGGAAGAAGATGTCTGATTCGGAATTGTATTCAGTATTTAGAAACATGTATCAAACGATCAGATCTTGCGTACGCTGAAGCTGACTGAAGCTTCATCTTTACTCAAACATGTACACGTTAAAGGAATGTGTGCATTGTCAGAAAGAAATGTGAACATTAGCGACTTGTAGTGTAACCACTGAGCTATAGTGAGTTTTTGTCATTAAACAATATATCACATGACTAACCACGGGTACGGGTAGTCGTGTGGGTACCCGGGTCCTACTCAGGACCCACCCGACCCTGTACCCGAGTTACCCGTCCCAGCCCTAACTGGAGCAGTATCACACCTGAATTTAGCCAATTCGGGAATCAAACGTTCCAGACCAAGGTCTGAATTTTGAAATTGCAGTTTCATTTCCTTCTTATCGCCCAACGATTTCTCCAACGAAATATTTTGTGAGAGATCTGATCTTGGTCTCGATAACATAAACGTGTATAAGCGTATCTAACAGCACTTCCACATTGGCGAACAGTAGGCAGTATTCAGCTCTATCACCACTAACATCATGATTTGGCGTAAGAAAATTTTAGCCTAAAATGTAACGCATGGTTGTTGTTTTTCTGAAAGGACTAGCCGACCTGTCCTTGTTTTAGCTCCTTATGCCGAGCG